AATCTTTCACAAATGTGTAAGGATAAAATAATGTGTCAAGTGATTTAAATGGCTGTGGATGCAGAAGAAGCTTTCTCCAAACCGGCTTCTGAGTCAAGTAGTGACAGTGCATCGACGTCAGACCAGCGGTTTCCTCTTAAAACTGAAACTTGGTATTTCTAACTGTTTTCGCTGATCGCCTTCGAACGTTCCTGGGTATTCTTATTCGTTTAGAGTGGGGCTTTTTCTTTATTATAAAGTCAGTTGAGTAAACGAATTTCGGCTAAAATGCCAGTATTCATGAAAAAGCTCGTCCTGTCTAGAAAGCGTATGTAAGTGCAAAGTTTTCGTCGAATTTACTTTCATATTTGACTTTCTATTTTCCGTTATTGTTAACCTTGGTAGTAAGGCGAAAGTGTATGAAGTTTAATGAGTTCTAAGATTCATCATTTTTCACTGTCATTGTAGAATGAAGCTTGCATCAAGCTTTCTTACTATCGTCTGCCGTTTCACAAGTGGTATTATACTATAAATGGGATCGCCGATATAGTAACAGTATTTTAATCATTATCATTATTGACTACTACACGCCAATAAAATTCTGCATTTCCTGGTGATGTGACAGTGCGAAAGGCTTTCAATTGGCAGCAGCATATCTGGACGCAAGTAATTAGGACGGAATTCTTTAGGCAGCAGTCTAGCAACTTTTTTGCCTCAGTTATATACCATTATGGGTTACGGTTTATTATATTCACCGACAGGTTCAGGTTGTTATTCATCACGCTTTATTAAAGCATATTATTGCTCTATTTATATCCTGTCAAACGGATCTGGCAATTCTTTCTGTCTCATTTTATGGTTAAAGTACATTTTCCGCTAACTAACTTATAGGATGGCTGGTAAACTGCTTCTCGGGAAGATCGTATTTTTTTTCAAGCAGCAGGCTTATTACAGTTGATATTAAGAGAACCAGCCTTCGGCAAAGTGGAGGTCTAATTAAGCTTAATTTTTGACCAGTAAACACAGATATGTCAGTAGACTGACTAAGGACTTTTGTCCTCAAGTGTATCCCGCTATTTATCCGTGTTGGCCGAGGTGCGTTTGCCGAGCAAAGTTGTTTTCGATTGATTCGCAAACCATGATCATCGACTCACAGAAAATTCGTTCGTCCTCTAGACTATATAGAAGTACACTCGGTTACTTTTCCAGACATATCGAATCTCTGAGGCCATTGGAAACTTTGTCTAGGTAGAAAAAAAACGATGAAAGTCCTCAATTCCCTTGGCATAAAGAAAGTTGAAACCTCAGTTCCAGAAGCGCCTGTGACAGGATGAAAAACAGCATTTGCTGGTTTCTGAAACTACAGAAAAGTGTGTGGTATCCGTATCAGGCAGGAACATCATGTGTATGTGTGATTAGTTAAACCTTGCTTGGAAGTTACATCAGTCTCTATACCGACTTGTCATTTCATGACACTCAATGGTTGCTGTTAAGGACGTCTAGAGAAAAAAACAGTATATTTAATATGAAAAGAGGGAGGTTTCATAAGGCGGCCAGGATTCAAAGCTTTAGCCATGCTACTTTCGATTCTGTTTTCCTACGTTCACTGTCTGTGACCTCTAGGTATTGAATGTCAAATGTAAATCTTCCCAGTTGCATTGTATGTTCAGCATCAAAGATAGTGTGGTCAGGATCCAATGCCACTGAATATCTCTCGTGAATTTGTTATATCACTTTCCTTGGGCTTCTTTCTTATAGCGTTTGGTTTTGGGGGTTAAATTGTTTCATTTTCGGTCCCAGCAACACCTGCCGAGTTGGCCTCTATAACTCACTTACTTACTTACGCCTGTTACTCCCAATGGAGCATAGGCCACCGACCAGCATTCTCCAACCCACTATGTCCTGGGCCTTCCTTTCTTTTTCTATCCAGTAGTTGTTCATTCTTCTCATATCTGTCTCTATTTCTCGGCGTAATGTGTTCTTTGGTCTTCATTTTCTCCTTTGACCTTCAAGATTCCATGTGAGAGCTTGTCTTGTAACGCAATTAGGTGATTTCCTCAAGGTGTGCCCAATCCACTTCCAGCGCTTCTTCCTGATTTCTTCCTCTGCTGGAATCTGGTTTGTTGTCTCCCACAGTAACTTGTTGCTGATAGTGTCTGGCCATCGGATCCGAAGTATCTCGCGTAGACAGCTGTTGGTGAACACTTGTATCTTCTGGATAATGGCTTTCGTAGTTCTCCACGTCTCCGCCCCATACAGTAGAACTGTCTTGACATTTGTATTGAAAATTCTAACCTTGGTGTTGGTTGGCAATTGTTTTGAGTTGCAGGTGTTCTTCAATTGTAGATATGCTGCTCTTGCTTTTCCGATCCTTGCCCTCACATCTGCATCTGATCCACCGTGTTCATCAATGATGCTGCCCAGATATGTAAAGGTTTTTACATCATCCAAAGCTTACCCGTCAAGTGAAATTCGATTGGTGCATGTTGCTAGATCCAAACCTAAATTCCAATAGGTTTGGTTGATGAATAACTGTACGTGGATATAGATACACCTGCACCGCAATCGAAATCAGAACAAAGTGATTGGGTAACAACAGTCCTAAAATTCATCATATATACAAATGTACAAATTTACCTAAACAAATATTACCACACAGTTATTCAACCAACAATTGTTCCTAAAATAATCAATCTGAATTACAGTAAATAGCAAAGTGATAAATAATATAGGAAAATTACCGAACGCTCCAAAAAAATAAATGTTATCCTATCCTTCCTGTCTAGATCAAGTAAAGAATGCGTTCCAAATGTTGCTTTATAACACAGAGTGTTTCCAGTTCTGGGTAAGTGTTCCAATTAACAACCAAAATGCACGATCCCAGTCCAATCAAGCAACACGGTCAAAGATGGAACGATCAATATGGCAGCCGCCAGAACAATATCAATTAAAACAAATTGCATACAGTTCAAGAAGAAACATAGAAACTCAATGAAAGCGATAGAAAAACGGAGAAAACTATTATTAAAATTAAACATCACATTCTCAATTGGCATCAAAAAGATTAACAATATGTACAAATAAAGAAACTGTTAAGAAGTTGCAAAGGTATACATGGAGGCATTTTCACCTTCAGAATGGATCTTACACACGTTGTATTGTATCGGAGAGTCTTGCTTTTCCCTTTATCTATATTGAGACCTACTGCTGCTGAGGCTGCTGCTACACTGGTCGTTTTCTCCTGTATTTGTTGTTGCGTTTGTGATATAAGAGCCAGGTCATCTAAGTCTAAATCGTCAAGCTGCATCCTACCTGTCCACTGAATCCCGTGCTTTCCTCTAGATGTTGACGTCTTCATGATCCAGTCGATCACCAGGAGAAAGAGGAAGGGTGAGAGTAAGCAACTTCGCCTAACACCGGTCTTTACCTCGAATGAATCGGTGAGTTGTCCTCCATGAACGATTTTACATTTTAATCCATCATAGGAATTCCATATGGTATTGACTATCTTCTCAGGCACGCCGTAGTGTTGTAGGAGCCTCCATATTGTTGTCCTGTCCACACTATCAGATGCTGTTTCGTAGTTAACAAAGTTGATGTAGAGTGATGAATTCCATTCGATTGATTGTTCCACAATGATCCATAGAGTTGCGATTTCGTCTGCACACGATCGATCCTTACGAAATCCAGCCTGTTGATCTCGAAGTTTGGCCTCCATAACTAGTGAATTGAATTCGAACGGAGTCACTTCGATAATAATTTCTACCATAATCATATGCTGGTTAATCTGGTCGTTTTGATGGAAGATGCAGTACTTATCGAGCCAGGATTCGGGGATTGTTGGTTATTATTTTTAGCAAGCTCAGACTTACTGAAGTAACTTAGATTAGCTACAAAATGTAAATTGCGTGATTCTACGGGTACTTATGGTAACAGCCACACGCATTAATAAGTTGAGTCTTTATTTAATTTACTGTTTCAACTAGTTAGCATATTTCCTGTCTCTCATTATCTCAAGTCAGAAACTTGGTGAACTGTTAGAAGGCTCTGAACTCATATTACAACATTTTATTGATGCAAATTTCCATTCTTCACACTGACATAGAAAAAAGTCATAAAAGAAACGGACTAACTAAGCAAGTAACCCTACTGCCAGCCTAAAGTCCAAGAAAAGGGGGAGGGTTATGCACGAATTCAGCAACCAAATCCCTCAGAAAGAAACCTCGCTTAAAAAACATTATCAAGAGAACACAATCTAAACTTTTTGAACATTAACAAAGAAGTTGAGAGGTTTCCATCTAGAAAAATTATAACTCCTCGTAGATTTATGGTAAAATTTGGTATGGGTAATATGACTGGTCGTCAGTTGTTATGACTTCATTGCCATTGTTTATATTTGATGGTCCCTAATTGTTGTGTCAAAGTCGCCAACTGCTTTAATTTGCAAAACGAGGAGCCACTGTAATCCCCACGACAAGAATTAGTGTTTTTGTTTCGCTAGTTTATATTTCCTTGAGTCGTATTTTCAATCCCTGCTGTTTACATCCCTAACATTCTAAGATTTGGACTGACAATTTCACCCCCTTCTGCTACTCCGACCCGGCAAACTGACCCACTGTACAAACACCCTATGTTCTAAGTTGTGACTGGCTTAATGATGGATGCAGCTCATTGTTTTAGAGCATGTAGCAGTCGGCCACCCATATATATCGTACTTCTTCATTTCCCAATAAGTCATTTATGTCGTACAATTCCGTTTCTAATTTACGAACATTAACGAAGTGGGATTCCCTGGTCACCGCGGCACTGTAATCCGGGATATGTAATAATAATAATTTATTCCCAAATAACGTCCCGTTATATGAAGCAAGCCAGTTTAAGGCAAGATCAAATTGTTGCAGAATATATAGTCTTCACCGTAGTGGGTTATCCATTTAGGTTGATATTTTATAAGGTGCATTGATCATAGGATATTTGGGAATAATACTTATCACTTATGAATGTATATAATATTAGTATGACCCGTATTGCCATTATGAGAGCTGGCGCGCTTTATGGAGGTGGAATTGCGACATGCAACCGATGATCAAGAGTAAATCTACGTACATTTGGGAGCTTCTAGAAACCGTGATCTTATATCCCTCTGGAACATCTGAGGCACTATTGATGGTGCAGGACAAAGTCATTTGTTCCATATGTGCTTTCGGTGACCAATCTCGAGGAGGCTGAAAAGAAGGGTAAGAAAAAGAAGGGTGAGAAGCATAGGAGACAATGTTCATGCCTGTTGAATTTGGGTCATTTGTGGAGGAATGGTCAATGTATGACTACCTAGTCTGTCGTTTATTAAGGGACTTTTTAAGCAAAAGCATTTTAATAGGTAAATGCTGTGGGTGATTAGATAAGGAACTGTAAAACTGAAGGTCGTTCAAAAAGAATCCGAAAGTATGGGATTATATGTAGTTTTGAAATATATTACTGACAACACTATTTTGATACACAAATGGCTATCTGCTTTTTCTGTTGAAGCCATTTCAACTCATTTTTTATTGATTTTGTAGGGTCATGGGCAGGCTTCATTTTTTTAGCAAATTGTTTAGTTTTGCTCGTGATAGGATTGCTTGGCAGTAAGTGAAACCAATTCAACGTCACAAACACGATTTAAAGAGATCTTCTACATAATAATAACTTATCATCAACGCCATTAGTTTGTGACATACCAGTTGACCATAAAAAGCCGTAATTTAACAATACGTTTTTCCCTACAGAGATGGCTGGATTGAGACTACCCTTCACCATCATGTTTGAACGTCAGTATCACTACCAGCCTTCCTATTGTGATACTTGGCTCTCTTTCGTTTGTAGCATGTATAAATATTGATTTAATCTCAGCTCCTTGTTGGAATACACTGTTTCTACTAGTTTTATGTTACATGCAGATCAGATGGTTAAAGCTTCGGTATTGTGGGTTAAATAGCAATTTAGTAAATCACACCTCTATGAAAATAGCTAATGGTATAAGTTATAAAACACATCAGATTATATGTGGTTTAGAGATGGTGAGGATAGGTAGCAAGTCAGATAATATACAAGAGTTTAGAATTGTAAAATTGTCATGGTAGGAAAACAAAACATTGAGCGACCCACAAGAGTTTAGGGCATTATGAGCTTCTTATGATCGGCCATAGTTGGTCAGCATCCATGAGATTAGTGAGTTATCTATCGGGGTGTAGTGGAAAAACAGGACATGGAACTAGGGAAGAAAAATGAAATTTTAACCACTAAGGAGATTCTGGATGTGAAAGTGCGGAGTAGGAGAATCAAGGCATAACTAATAGTCAGTGAATAGTCGGAGAGAGTAATCCATGTGTTCTATCATCCGGTTATACTCATACTAATGGCAATGGGGGTCCTTTATATCCATGGTCGGTCTAAATACTAGACGGCCCACAATAAAATTCGCCGTTGGTGGGCGGGCGTCCAGGGAATAGTTGATGAAGCTCTTTAGTGTCAAGTGAAAGGGTTATCAGTTTTTTGAGCTTAGTGATAGTGTCACAGTTACGTAAAGTTATTGGCAGCCTGTTCATAATAATGTAAACCACACTGTAAAAAGTTTACAACTCATCGCTTTTCGTTGTTTTACAGTCAGCAGCGTATATGTGTTGTTTCTGAGTCTGCAGACTGGGTCATGGAGCATGGTTGAGGAGGTGGTTAGAAATGAGGGTCCGTATATTGCTTTGTAGAAAATTATTAGATTGCTGCTTAGACGACATCTACTTAAGCCTAGTCACAACACTAACCTAAGGAGTAACACCCTGAAACTGGAGACCCAACATAACAGAACAGACTATAGACACAACTTCCACTCCTTAAGAGTTGTCAAATGCTGGAATTCTCTGTCGGCTAACCTGGTACAAGCGACTTCCTAGGAGTCCTTTAAGAGGAAACTTGATCTATTCTTAAGGTCTAAGGATAACATATTATTATGATTTACCAATTTTTTCTCTATTATCGTTAGTATACCTAGGTTCTTGCCTGAAAGCATTGGTATTCCATTGCTACTAACACAGAACCTCGTTAAGCGAGAGCTTCTTTTATTACGTCTACAACCATTTGAACTATTTGTTGTACTGTGCTAATTTATCATGTTCAACAGACACACTATTTTTTAAAAGTTAGTGTAGGTTTTCGCATAGAGAGTAAATATCGGCTGTGGTACGTTTTAAGATGCCCATACCGTATGCCATAGGAAATTTATCTTTGCTCTCTCTAGTCGTAAGCGTTTGAGAAAACTGTCGATTTTTAACAAGGTAATATACTTAACGGCAAAACAACTGATACGACAGCTTGCATCAGTCTAAAATGAATCGTATATCCTTGCAATTACTATTGAACTGCTTGATACGCAAAAAACACTCCGAAATCAAATGGTCTGGTTTTGGTCCTTGAGACTTTTGAAGTTTTCCTTTCAGATGATCAGTGTTATACGGATAAGCTATTTAGGCATATTGGTATTAAAATCATAATTTTATTTTGCTACCAGGTAATAATTACTCACTCAAGCCTGTGGTAAGATAGTTGGGCTGCATTTTGACTTGTTGATTTCTCCCTATAAATCTATTCAGAATGTGTTTTCATCATATCAGTCCCTGTCATTTGAAACAAGGCCACACTTCTTGAATTGTGTATGCTTTATATGACTTGATTTTTACCGGTTATGACATTGAGGATATAATCTCATCCGTCCTGAAATTTCTTCAAAATTCGGGAACCTAAGACAGTTTTTGATTTATGGTAACCTACTGTTCTGAAGTCCATACATAGTAATCCTAAATCCTTACAGCTAATAACCATTATTAAAGTCATAACGTTTATTGTGTGGTGATGTTGGTAGACACAATAACCGGTTCGGATGGTAGCGAGTTTTCCATAACTTACTTTGACGACCACTGATTTACTCATTTAACCGGGTGATTTATACCTTTATATCATCCTACCTCGGCTCAGTGGTCTATCGGTTAAGGGCTCTGGCTCGAGACTGGTAGGTCCTGGGTTCGGATCTCGTGAGTGCGGGATCGTGGATGCGCACTGCTTAGGAGTCCCATAATAGGACGAAACGGCCATCCATCCATCATCCTACCTCATCATCAATGTGTATGTGTCCCCATGCTTTGATGTTGCCAGCAAACAACATTTCATAAAACTTGAGATTTTTTAAGGAAAAATTTGTGGACTAATATAGTCTAGCACTATTTTAAGGACTAAGATTAAAATTAATATGGTGATAGAGACTGGTGGATGAAGTCCTATCTACCTTGATGCACTGTTGAGTTTTAAAATGCGCCATCAAATGCGAAGTGTTCCAGTGGTTATTACTAGTGAGAAAAATGTTTTAGGTGTTCCTTCTCATCACTAATGACTGTTTAGCTGCTTTGTAGAGTCTGACTGAAATTACAAAAACGTTGTGCAGTTTTTATTCATGAACCAACTAATAAACTGCGTGGCATGATACAGATTAATAAAGCCACTTTTAGGTTATGTAAGCATTGGTTGTTTAGGCACTGTCTAGTGCTAAAATTCGATCATAAGGGAAGAGATGCACCGTGTTTTTCCGTTTTTTTATGAGCGGCTTTTCTTGTTGCTTCTTATGGGTATTTTGCACTTGTTTGTTTTCTGTCTGTTATTTCAAAATGCAAGATTTTATAGCAATATGATGGCGAAAGTATTAAATTGGTTCCGCGTTATTATAAGAGTAGTTGATTTCTCGAGCAGCTTGCAAAACAGAAAATAAATTCACTTGGTATTGTTTGCTTGTGTCTTCCTATTGTTGTTAAGGTCTGCAATTGATCAGTCTCTTATTGCCATATGTGCATACCGTGCATATTTCCTCGATATAGCTTAGCGCGTTTCATTCTATTCGGGACTGTTCAGCTGGATGTACCTGAACCCCAGAGTTGATTTTCAATCCTGGACTCGCTTCAAACGCCTCCGGGTTATCCACTTAAGACTAAATGCGTGTCCTGGATTCCACTGCTAGCCACCATCCATCTTTGCTTATAAAGCTCGTGACTGAAAACACTATCGAGGCAATCCTCACAGGATGCACATACGCCAGTAAGAGAATGATCAATTGCAGTCCTTAACAACAATAGGAAGATACAAGTAAACAACACCAAGTGAATTTTAAAACTTCACTTGCACAAGCATGTGGCTATCAGGACTCAGTAGCTAAGTGGGTAATGCAATGGCGTTTAAGGCGAAATGTCCTGAGTTTGAGTCCCAGAGGGAATACCAATTCTGGGATTCAGGTACGTCTAGCTGACGTGTCTCAAATGGAATGAAACGCGCGTCCTGTATTCAACTAATGGCCACCATCTATCTTTGCTTATAAAGAAAATAACGTCTCCAAAATATTACGCTTAAGGCATCGTTTTTTCTGTCTATTGAAATGATGTCACTACCCTTGAAATTAAATTGAATCAAGAATGACTTATTAAGATACACAATTTTCTGTGTTTTGTTGTGCGTTTCATTACCACATTTATTCAGGAAATATTTGTGTAGTTTTGAAGTGTTTTCTGATAAACTGTGACATATAATTTTGCCCTAAAGGGACTATTTTAACCAGTGCTTTTAATCTGAAATTGGCAAAATCATTTTTTATTCACAAAATATTTCCATAAACTATTACGTTTTGTATTTGTCTTAATTGACTGTAACTCGTGCCAAGGATGTGTTTTTGTCCTCGGTTTTGGGCTTTTAGTTTAAGTCACTACACATGATAAAAGTATTATCAGTATGACTTTGCTACGATTTATCTTGCGATTGTACATTACATGATTGATGACACACATTTTTCTCGTGTCATAGATTAATCAATGTCAGTTGCTTGTTCCACTAACATTATACTTGGAAGCCTCATTTTTGATGTACTTTTGTTGCAATCAGGAGGTTTTTTGAGAGAGTTCTTTGTCAAGATTATAATTTATGGACAAACCAGTCAGGTTTTCGATAACAGATCTTGGATTTTGGGGTAAAAATAATTCACTCATTTGGCTAAATAGCGTTTTAGCATTTTAGCTGAAGTCACTTCGTGATGAAAGTCATAAAATTAATTCCTAACCCCAACCATCGACTGTAAATCATAATCTTAATTTCTTTTACTGCCTTACGACTCATTTAACCCCACTAAGTAGGTGGGAATTCCAAAGGCCATCATAGAGTCGCTCAAAGGCGTAAAAAAGTAATCATTAGTATTTTTTTGATTGCAGAGTTTTCATTAGGGTCTAATCGTATCTCATATTTTATCAAGGTGAAGAAGAACTAATTTCATGTGTTTTTGAACCATATTAGCAGTTTTAAACTTTAAAAACTACTAAATTAGAAGGGTTATTAGTTTATTGAATTCCAGACAAATACTTGCCACCAGACTAATCAATATGAAGTCAGGTGAAATAATTTACTTTAAAAATCCAAACAGATTCATCCTTTCTTACTTTAACGAATCCGCCAATATAACGCCTTGTTTGATGAAAAGCTGCTTTCAAATATGAATTTTGGATCTTACACCTTCCCAGTAATAGATATTTGTTAACAAGTACAGTTTCATTTTACCTTCAATTTTTCCTTATCTCTTGGCTGTTTTGCAGCAACAAAAAATGTCGAAATCCATACCGAATTTGCAAGATTCTCTTGTAAATGATAAAAAAAATACAAATGATATTGTTGGTGTAAAAATGGAGAAGACTATTGGTTTTGTCAGCAGCATCACAATTATTATCGGCTCAATTATTGGTTCAGGTATATTTGTTAGTCCAACTGGTATATTGGAAAATATGCAGAGTTTTGGTGCTAGCTTGATTATTTGGATTGGATGTGGAATTTTTTCTTTATTGGGAGCCTATTGCTATGCTGAACTAGGCACAATGATTCAACGCTCAGGTGGAGATTATGCTTATATGCTTGAAGCATTTGGTTCATTTATGGGATTTTTACGTCTGTGGATTGAAGTGATGGTAGCTAGACCAGCTACTATGGCTGTCATTGCTATGACATTTGCTAAATACATTTTACAGCCTATATTCCCTGATTGTCCACAGTCTAATGCAGTTGTACGATGTCTAGCAGCTGTATGTATCAGTAAGCAAATTCAATTGACTAGAACATTTTTGCTTATTAAACAATAAATATCCATGACCTAACTCTTTGGCTTATTAATTCACGTTGCGGGTATGATTTTATCTAACCTTTAGAGTTCGTAATTGAAAATTTTATGGCCCTGTATCTGACTCCATTTAGATCGTATGCTGATTGTTATTGAAATATACATGCCGCCAACTCTCGTATATTATCTATCGACTTAAGTCACGTTGGGGAATAACGAGATTAAATAAGTCAAATACAAGAATGGATCCTCAAATACAACACAGAGAACACCAATCCATTCACACTTGATGGAAAAGCTCTCGAACAGGTGGAAACTTTCGCGTATCTGGACAGCATCATTCATGAACAAGGAGGATCCTATACAGACGTAAAAACGAGGATTAGCAAAGCGAAGGCAACATTCATACAGTTGAAGAAAATATGGAACTCAAAACAAATGTCAACCAATATCAAAGTCACAATCTTCAATATACACGTGAAGGCAGTTCTACTGAACGGAGCTGAAACTTGTAGAACTACCACAACCATCATCAAAAACGTACAGGTATTCATATATAGTTGTCTACGGAATGGTCACCATCTGTTTGCCGGATATCATCAGCCATAATCTATTGTGGAAGTGGATAGGACATACATTGAGGAAATCATCAAAATGTATCATTAGACAAGCGCTAACTTTGAATCGTGAAGGAAAACGGAAAATAGGAATGCTAAAGAACACGCTGAGCTGAGAATTGGAAGCGGACATGAAATGATGAATAGCAACAGGGAACAAGCGGAATGAATTGACCAGAACAAAGTTGGATGTAGAATGCTGTTGATTGGCCTTTACACCTCTGCGAGGGATGACCAGCGTAAGTCAGTAAGTATATCTCATACACTCTTTGATCTAAACAGATAATCAGAGAAACACAGCGAAGGGAGCAGAGCGAAGTGAAGTGACGCTCAGTGGAGAAGGCAAGTTAACCAACTCGTTTTTATCAAGCGTGATTCATTATTTATGGCCAAACAAAAATAAGTTACGGACACGTAATTAATAAGGCAAGCAGTTGACATACATACGATCACATAAAAACAGTCAGGGTTAATAAGCAAGTATTTGACAAGGTCGAAATGTGGCTTAAGAATAATGAATAAATTTGTCTGTCCAAAAACTAGAATAACCTATGTGGGCTCGACACAGTACCAGCCACTACAAAGTCAAGAGAGATAATTTGTTTAATTATAAATCCATTGGTCTCAGTTACAGTGATTAATTTTATCATTTTTTTATGTTGTGATACTTTTATGGCACTGTATTTACTTTGGAAGCGAAAGCTTCTCATAGTTCAGTTTATTTTGGTTTTATTAGGAATTATTTTCATCCAACTTAAATGGTTTCATTGTTGAAATCATGAGTCAATTGAAGCTAGACCACCATGGAAAACCTGGAAACACTGGACGGCCGTCTCGTCCTATTATGGGACTCCTCAGCAGTACGCATCCACGATCCCGCCGTCTATACCGTCTATTAATACTAGCTAATGATAGTAATTATCGAGATATAGTAGTAAAAGACCCAAGCTACAGTTTGTATACTACAATTTATACCATATTTTATATAACAATCTGTGCTTTATAAAAGGAAGAATCCTATCATGATAATAACTGTAAATAGAAACCATAAAAACCATCCCCAACACCAGTCAGCATTGCGCGTTGTGGTAATCGGTGTTCAGCCATATGTAACATGTGGCCCAAGCATCTCAGATGATGAAGATTTACAATCCTATCAACTGATTTACCAGCGTGCCTTAATACCCTGAGTCTAACCTCTGTTGGGGATGTCAAATCCCCAGAACTTACTTGGTAAATGGCTTAATCTTGTAGTTTTATTTTGAAAATTTGAATTTAGCTGTTTTCGCGCCAAAAGCGCTCTTTTTACCTTCACGTCATATTTCCCACCTGTGAACTATCTTAACCGCTATTGGTCCTTTGTTTCTTTATGTGTGCTATTTACTAATGGTGCTCAAGGACAATTTGTTACTGTATAAATGCGCTTGACTTTTTCCCTTATTTGATTGCTTGTACTCGGCTGCTTACGGAATACATATATATTCCCCTACTTGCCTTGGACTTCTTCATCTAGTTAGCGGGGCCTGGGACAACAGATTAGAATAGCTTATCGTGTCATTGTGTCATTGGCTTTCGTTCGTTACCGCGGAATCGATTTAGTTTCAGGTATAACAACCTCACTATTACTTACCCGGTGATCCCAGAAGATACAAGCAATATTTCTAAGACATCTGTGATCAAATACTAGTAACTTGCGAGTATCTTCTACTCTTAATGGTCACGTTTCGCAGCTATAAACTAGAACAGAACGAACTGCTGCCCAGTATAATCGTCCATTAATTGATAGACGGATATTTCGCCTTTGCAACGACACTTTAACGAATGTAACTCACGCATTCGGCTTTGAGGCATACTGTTCGTGCAAAGGGTGGTGACATTAACCAGGTGCCTGAATCGAAGTAAGTGGAGCTCTGTCCGGCTATGTGGCCTAATGGTTAATAGCAGTGTTGTAAACAATAAGCCACCACTCCATATTGACGAGTGAGACAATGTTCATGATGTAGGTTCTGAACAAGTTCGTCATACTACTAGTTTGAATAAATCAGGATTTGATCTACTGAAAACAAAGTGGACCGTCAGTTAAACAATCTTATATTATTTTGTACTCACTCCAAAGATCATATCACCCTTACTATGTTTGAAATACTTGTTATTTTGTCACCGCGTAACAGGATTTTCTTGTCAGTATATCAATTCTAAAGAACTTGGATGATAGATCAGTACAAAAGGCTGCGATGAGACTGAATAAAATGGCAACAAACAGTCATTTTAAAGCAATTTTAACTTTGTCGTATATTTCCATGACAACTTCATGCAGACCGTTACGAGTGTGGATAGAAGGCAATTATTTGTGTTATTAATATGTTCCAAACAACATGAATCTCTAAAGTTCAAGAATAACATTTTTGTTCAGTAGAGATTAAGAACTTTATATTTTCCTACAAACTAGAGTGAGCTATTATAACTAAGGCGATATTAACACAAACACCCCATTTTAATCGACACAGAATAATGACTGAAACCATAAAGTGAGTAGTCAATCAACAAGATAACATATTTAAAGCTCTGTAAACCTTGGTTAGGAACGCAACAAAAAACACACCTATGAAGATATTGTGACATTTAGGGAAATTTACCTTCAGGGTGCAATATAGAAACATTCCTCCCGGCACGCCTACTCCATAAAGAAAGTCTAGGCCCCCCTCCCGTAACAAACCAATCCTCTTCGAACTGTTTGCAGGATAAAGTAGTTAACCAAGACCCAAGCTTGGGTCGAGATAATTCACTATTTAGATACGGTTTGAACACAGATGAAGCCTTATAGTCCCCATTCCGTATAACTCTGTGATCCCAAAAGCAGACAGTACCGTCCTCAGAACTAGTACCAAACTAACAAAATGAAACATTAGATTGAAAGCGAACCTCGTGTGCTCCAACACTGCAAATTTTATAAATTGTGGACCTATGTCCAGCAAGTTTGAGCTTTTCTTTGAAACCACAACCAATAAAAAAAGTATGGATAGTTCCATCACCCAATGCTGCCAAAAGAGTGTCACTTTCTGTATGATAACACAACCCGGTAACCTAAACACAATTTAGTGAAAGGTAACTAGTGTATCAATTCCTCTACTTTACCTCAGAAACGGTTGCGTAAAGATTTCCCGACGTCAGATGAACTGTATCGTGATATTTCAGAAAGCCGTCGGTAGGTGTAGTCCATTTGTATACAACAATCAGACCAACTGACCCACAGAAAACATAATCCTTCCCGAAACATAAAGCGTAAATATTTCCTGCATATTTTACGTTGATAATGCATTCTGGCTTCCCTTCAATTTGTGAATCTATAACGACGACATTGTAAGATCAATGCTCACATACCACAGGACAGCGAACATAACGAATAAATTAGTATTTTCTGTATATTAGTTCCAAAAAGTAGATATTTTCTACATGGAGATGTAACGGATGATAGTATGAATGTATGAGCTATTATTCTATTATTGTTCATGTCTGTAAGGAAAAAAAATGTAGAAAATAATATGAACTATATCATCTCTACAAACAATTCCCATAACCTGTTTTATTACTTCGTTTAAAGTGACACTCATTCGTTTATATTACCTTGAGAACCCTATTTAAGTCTTCTTACATGAGTGGAGACGAGCCAGTGATTTGTTTGTTCAACAGGAAAGACTGGATACGACAAGCTTCATTTGTTGGCACATGTGATCAATTAAATGCTGATAAAACAGCACTCACATCAGTTTAACATTTTAAAGCATAAAATGAGATTTGCGACTAGGAACGAAGTTTAGAGATTCTTAGTATCGATAGTAATTTATTAGTTTTTTTAGTGGAAAGTTTGTCCTATACTTTAGTGATGAACTAATAACATTTAGTGACAGATAGTGACTTGTAGATATTTCCATCTACCCGTTCAGCTACAAAGAATGAACACTTTGTAACCTCATAAGCCCAAGCTTCGTATTGTAGATGATGCTAGTTTGTGATGAGAGCTCTAACTCTTCTCTCTTACTGTACGAAGCAATTAACGTGAAACTTAATTATTTATGTTAAGACACATTACCTTTTGTAATTTTATCATCCTTTATTACGATCCCTTTTTATCATTAAATACTACCTTCTGATTCGCATAGTCCCCCAATGTCCTCTATATACTTCAATTTTACCATAAAAACTACATAAATAGACTTTCCCAATGTTAAAGTGATTTGGAATTAGGTTACATTTTTCTTCACTAATCAGTATGAAACTATTCCTGAGCTTCACTTCTCATGTGGGTTTTATGATATACGATAAAAGCATATTTTCACACTGTTATATCAATAGAAATACCAATAAAATTAGTCGTATCAATATACAAGTAATATTGCAAATTAACTGTTCATTTATGGTAAGAGCAGGTTAGGGGACAGATGGACGTTAATATCAGTGCCTCACCATAGATGGTGTAGATGGGAGCCGGTTCAAATGGCGACCAGTATGACCTGTATATACGCACGTTACATTATGATGCCCAAATCGAATTCTAACTAGTTTTAGGTTATTATCTGGTTGTACCACAGTTTAATAAGACAGGATACAACCACGTCGATGTTATAAGTGTAACCCTGGAAACACTTCCAACCAGTTACAGCCTAAATAAAGGATATCAATAAATAACTACTTCAGCTAAAATGAAGCAGCAACGAACAGACACGGACTCACATAACAGTGACGGTGTTGCTCAAGATTTGCGCGAAAGCCTTCAATCATCAACCTTGCCTAGGTAGAACGAGTAATAGTGGTGTCGTTGTTGCCTCTTTTAAACGTGATTCTGTGTTATGAGATATAACGCTTTAGGTTCAGAAAGTTATACGGTCTGTCTAATCTTTCACAAATGTGTAAGGATAAAATAATGTGTCAAGTGATTTAAATGGCTGTGGATGCAGAAGAAGCTTTCTCCAAACCGGCTTCTGAGTCAAGTAGTGACAGTGCATCGACGTCAGACCAGCGGTTTCCTCTTAAAACTGAAACTTGGTATTTCTAACTGTTTTCGCTGATCGCCTTCGAACGTTCCTGGGTATTCTTATTCGTTTAGAGTGGGGCTTTTTCTTTATTATAAAGTCAGTTGAGTAAACGAATTTCGGCTAAAATGCCAGTATTCATGAAAAAGCTCGTCCTGTCTAGAAAGCGTATGTAAGTGCAAAGTTTTCGTCGAATTTACTTTCATATTTGACTTTCTATTTTCCGTTATTGTTAACCTTGGTAGTAAGGCGAAAGTGTATGAAGTTTAATGAGTTCTAAGATTCATCATTTTTCACTGTCATTGTAGAATGAAGCTTGCATCAAGCTTTCTTACTATCGTCTGCCGTTTCACAAGTGGTATTATACTATAAATGGGATCGCCGATATAGTAACAGTATTTTAATCATTATCATTATTGACTACTACACGCCAATAAAATTCTGCATTTCCTGGTGATGTGACAGTGCGAAAGGCTTTCAATTGGCAGCAGCATATCTGGACGCAAGTAATTAGGACGGAATTCTTTAGGCAGCAGTCTAGCAACTTTTTTGCCTCAGTTATATACCATTATGGGTTACGGTTTATTATATTCACCGACAGGTTCAGGTTGTTATTCATCACGCTTTATTAAAGCATATTATTGCTCTATTTATATCCTGTCAAACGGATCTGGCAATTCTTTCTGTCTCATTTTATGGTTAAAGTACATTTTCCGCTAACTAACTTATAGGATGGCTGGTAAACTGCTTCTCGGGAAGATCGTATTTTTTTTCAAGCAGCAGGCTTATTACAGTTGATATTAAGAGAACCAGCCTTCGGCAAAGTGGAGGTCTAATTAAGCTTAATTTTTGACCAGTAAACACAGATATGTCAGTAGACTGACTAAGGACTTTTGTCCTCAAGTGTATCCCGCTATTTATCCGTGTTGGCCGAGGTGCGTTTGCCGAGCAAAGTTGTTTTCGATTGATTCGCAAACCATGATCATCGACTCACAGAAAATTCGTTCGTCCTCTAGACTATATAGAAGTACACTCGGTTACTTTTCCAGACATATCGAATCTCTGAGGCCATTGGAAACTTTGTCTAGGTAGAAAAAAACGATGAAAGTCCTCAATTCCCTTGGCATAAAGAAAGTTGAAACCTCAGTTCCAGAAGCGCCTGTGACAGGATGAAAAACAGCATTTGCTGGTTTCTGAAACTACAGAAAAGTGTGTGGTATCCGTATCAGGCAGGAACATCATGTGTATGTGTGATTAGTTAAACCTTGCTTGGAAGTTACATCAGTCTCTATACCGACTTGTCATTTCATGACACTCAATGGTTGCTGTTAAGGACGTCTAGAGAAAAAAACAGTATATTTAATATGAAAAGAGGGAGGTTTCATAAGGCGGCCAGGATTCAAAGCTTTAGCCATGCTACTTTCGATTCTGTTTTCCTACGTTCACTGTCTGTGACCTCTAGGTATTGAATGTCAAATGTAAATCTTCCCAGTTGCATTGTATGTTCAGCATCAAAGATAGTGTGGTCAGGATCCAATGCCACTGAATATCTCTCGTGAATTTGTTATATCACTTTCCTTGGGCTTCTTTCTTATAGCGTTTGGTTTTGGGGGTTAAATTGTTTCATTTTCGGTCCCAGCAACACCTGCCGAGTTGGCCTCTATAACTCACTTACTTACTTACGCCTGTTACTCCCAATGGAGCATAGGCCACCGACCAGCATTCTCCAACCCACTATGTCCTGGGCCTTCCTTTCTTTTTCTATCCAGTAGTTGTTCATTCTTCTCATATCTGTCTCTATTTCTCGGCGTAATGTGTTCTTTGGTCTTCATTTTCTCCTTTGACCTTCAAGATTCCATGTGAGAGCTTGTCTTGTAACGCAATTAGGTGATTTCCTCAAGGTGTGCCCAATCCACTTCCAGCGCTTCTTCCTGATTTCTTCCTCTGCTGGAATCTGGTTTGTTGTCTCCCACAGTAACTTGTTGCTGATAGTGTCTGGCCATCGGATCCGAAGTATCTCGCGTAGACAGCTGTTGGTGAACACTTGTATCTTCTGGATAATGGCTTTCGTAGTTCTCCACGTCTCCGCCCCATACAGTAGAACTGTCTTGACATTTGTATTGAAAATTCTAACCTTGGTGTTGGTTGGCAATTGTTTTGAGTTGCAGGTGTTCTTCAATTGTAGATATGCTGCTCTTGCTTTTCCGATCCTTGCCCTCACATCTGCATCTGATCCACCGTGTTCATCAATGATGCTGCCCAGATATGTAAAGGTTTTTACATCATCCAAAGCTTACCCGTCAAGTGAAATTCGATTGGTGCATGTTGCTAGATCCAAACCTAAATTCCAATAGGTTTGGTTGATGAATAACTGTACGTGGATATAGATACACCTGCACCGCAATCGAAATCAGAACAAAGTGATTGGGTAACAACAGTCCTAAAATTCATCATATATACAAATGTACAAATTTACCTAAACAAATATTACCACACAGTTATTCAACCAACAATTGTTCCTAAAATAATCAATCTGAATTACAGTAAATAGCAAAGTGATAAATAATATAGGAAAATTACCGAACGCTCCAAAAAATAAATGTTATCCTATCCTTCCTGTCTAGATCAAGTAAAGAATGCGTTCCAAATGTTGCTTTATAACACAGAGTGTTTCCAGTTCTGGGTAAGTGTTCCAATTAACAACCAAAATGCACGATCCCAGTCCAATCAAGCAACACGGTCAAAGATGGAACGATCAATATGGCAGCCGCCAGAACAATATCAATTAAAACAAATTGCATACAGTTCAAGAAGAAACATAGAAACTCAATGAAAGCGATAGAAAAACGGAGAAAACTATTATTAAAATTAAACATCACATTCTCAATTGGCATCAAAAAGATTAACAATATGTACAAATAAAGAAACTGTTAAGAAGTTGCAAAGGTATACATGGAGGCATTTTCACCTTCAGAATGGATCTTACACACGTTGTATTGTATCGGAGAGTCTTGCTTTTCCCTTTATCTATATTGAGACCTACTGCTGCTGAGGCTGCTGCTACACTGGTCGTTTTCTCCTGTATTTGTTGTTGCGTTTGTGATATAAGAGCCAGGTCATCTAAGTCTAAATCGTCAAGCTGCATCCTACCTGTCCACTGAATCCCGTGCTTTCCTCTAGATGTTGACGTCTTCATGATCCAGTCGATCACCAGGAGAAAGAGGAAGGGTGAGAGTAAGCAACTTCGCCTAACACCGGTCTTTACCTCGAATGAATCGGTGAGTTGTCCTCCATGAACGATTTTACATTTTAATCCATCATAGGAATTCCATATGGTATTGACTATCTTCTCAGGCACGCCGTAGTGTTGTAGGAGCCTCCATATTGTTGTCCTGTCCACACTATCAGATGCTGTTTCGTAGTTAACAAAGTTGATGTAGAGTGATGAATTCCATTCGATTGATTGTTCCACAATGATCCGTAGAGTTGCGATTTGGTCTGCACACGATCGATCCTTACGAAATCCAGCCTGTTGATCTCGAAGTTTGGCCTCCATAACTAGTGAATTGAATTCGAACGGAGTCACTTCGATAATAATTTCTACCATAATCATATGCTGGTTAATCTGGTCGTTTTGATGGAAGATGCAGTACTTATCGAGCCAGGATTCGGGGATTGTTGGTTATTATTTTTAGCAAGCTCAGACTTACTGAAGTAACTTAGATTAGCTACAAAATGTAAATTGCGTGATTCTACGGGTACTTATGGTAACAGCCACACGCATTAATAAGTTGAGTCTTTATTTAATTTACTGTTTCAACTAGTTAGCATATTTCCTGTCTCTCATTATCTCAAGTCAGAAACTTGGTGAACTGTTAGAAGGCTCTGAACTCATATTACAACATTTTATTGATGCGAATTTCCATTCTTCACACTGACATAGAAAAAAGTCATAAAAGAAACGGACTAACTAAGCAAGTAACCCTACTGCCAGCCTAAAGTCCAAGAAAAGGGGGAGGGTTATGCACGAATTCAGCAACCAAATCCCTCAGAAAGAAACCTCGCTTAAAAAACATTATCAAGAGAACACAATCTAAACTTTTTGAACTTTAACAAAGAAGTTGAGAGGTTTCCATCTAGAAAAATTATAACTCCTCGTAGATTTATGGTATAATTTGGTATGGGTAATATGACTGGTCGTCAGTTGTTATGACTTCATTGCCAATTGTTATATTTGATGGTCCCTAATTGTTGTGTCAAAGTCGCCAACTGCTTTAATTTGCAAAACGAGGAGCCACTGTAATCCCCACGACAAGAATTAGTGTTTTTGTTTCGCTAGTTTATATTTCCTTGAGTCGTATTTTCAATCCCTGCTGTTTACATCCCTAACATTCTAAGATTTGGACTGACAATTTCACCCCTTTGTGCTATTTCGACACGGCAAAGTGAACCAATGTACAAACATCCTATGTTCTAAGTTGTGACTGGCTTAATGATGGATGCATCTCATTGTTTTAGAGCATGTAGCAGTCGGCCACCCATATATATCGTACTTCTTCATTTCCCAATAAGTCATTTATGTCGTACAATTCCGTTTCTAATTTACGAACATTAACGAAGTGGGATTCCCTGGTCACCGCGGCACTGTAATCCGGGATATGTAATAATAATAATTTATTCCCAAATAACAGTCCGTTATATGAGGCATGCCAGTTTAAGG